CCTTTTGTGAGGGGTTTTAATTGAGGTTTTGGAGGCAAAGAAAGAGCCATGAACTTGTCCACTGCTGCAATGTCCTTCTCACAGACCTTGTGTTTGATTGTTTTCTTCCAGTTTGTATCTAGAGGCTACGAAATTAATGCACAGTCTTAGTAGGTCCATACTTAATTATAATTCTAATTTTGAAAGAAAAGAAATCGCGCTAAGGCTTTTTGGATTGTTGACAAAGTTCTTATATAGCTTACTTCAAAGACCATTGATGTTCCTTCTTCTACAAGCTTCTCTTCGTCCTCTATAATAGTTGAGAACTTGGTATCGGAGATCTTAGCCTGCTCAATATGAACACACATATGTTTGCTTAGAGACTCAAAAGGAAAACTTAATTAAAAAGAAATTTTAAACTCCCAACCTTAAGAAGCTCATCAGGATCATTCCATGGGCCTTTATCAGATCTCATGCAGCCTCCTTTGTCTTCACAAGTGCAATGGCCGCCAAAGAAATGTGGCAACTCGCTAATACAACAAACAAGATTTTGTACAAAATTAGCTTTTTAGTAGTCCATGATTCCTAACACAATCAAGATTAGTAAACGAGTTACAAACTAGTAACTTTACCTAGCGTCGATGGCTTCAAGCAATTGGGCCTGGTATTTGGTCCCAAGAACATGAATCTTTGATGTCGTCTTCGGATCAAGGAATTTTTTAACAGGGCCCCACAAGAGCCGGAATCCAGGACCCGCATTGATGATAAACATTCTGCTCAAAGTCTATGAAGAAAAACCTATTTACAACTTTGTTACCACTTTAAAATGATTAGATGTTTGAGATTAACTACCTCAGGGTAATTGTCGTTATCAATCTTGAGAAGGCGTTGAAGAAGCTCTCTAGCAGATTTGTTGAAATTCTTAAGTCCCTAAGATTCAAATAATGCCACATAGTTTTAAACATTTAAACCATTTTTTCACATTTATACTTCGTTAATAGAATAATCGAGATATTAAAAGGTAACGTACCACGCCTTGCACATCAAAAATGGTCGTGCTTTGATCAATGTGCTTGTTGGCTGCGGCTGAGCAAGCAGCGAACTTGATCTTGAACATCTTCTCGAACTCTTTCACATGGTATTTCTCGTACCGGTCCATTGTAGTCGCTTGCAACAGCTTGTTAGCATCGATTTGGCCTAATCTCTCAATGTAAACCGGTCTGCCTTCTTTGTCCACTCCATGATAGCCTTGAGGATAATATTTGACTACTTCATCAATCTCTTCGAACTCGAAATCCTTCACCATCAGAAAAAAGAACTTGTCATAGATTATATTTTTTATTCGGCTTGAGTTGTTCCAAGATTCATGGATAAATAGTGAACCTCGATGATCGTGTCGGCTCCAAAATCCTTTCTCCATTGGAGCATGTCACTCCACATTTGCTTTGCTTTCTCAGTGTCATGTTTTCTTGCCCTTAAGAATCTGTATAGATTAAACAAAACATCGAAGATTGTAACATTGTAATAGATATGACAATCGCAATAATTATCATTTGATAACATTTAATTTGGAAATTTCTTGGCAAGAAAGACGATTATAAGTTCAAAAAGAAGATGTATTTTATAAAGGTATATAAAATCATTGATTCTCTATAGTAAGACTGGCCCTTAATTAACATAGCAAATTTTGTTGTCATCTACTAAAAGGTTTATTAATCATCCCAGTATTGGCTAATATATTTCCATATCATGTCAGGTACTAAAGTTAAGACTTTATTCTACATTTTTTTTTATTATGAGATATTTGGCTAATTTGGTTCGCTGAACCATCATATATTCCTTACTTAAAATGTCAATGATATATTCTAAGTATTTAAGTTTTTCCATAAGTTGACTTCATGTACCAACATGTTATATTTGCTTTTCATAACACAAATACACTAATCGGAATACTTAAGGAAAAAAACCTGAGCATCATGTGAGGATCTTCATGTTTGGAAGACAAAAGACCTTCTTGGAGAAGGAGTTGACGAAATGCATCAATAGACCGAAGATCCTCAGCGTTGATGTTGTCTGGAATGGGTTCGGACCCGATTTTGCTGCTGGTCCTCCGAGTCTTCCTCTTAAACGAGTTCTTGAATCTGTTTGATGCGCCTATCGCTTTCTTTTTAAACGAGCTCATCTTCGCTATCTTCCTCTCATCCCCTGAATTCTCCATATCTAACCCACACATGATTATTTAGTTTACATTAGATATGCGGAAAAAACCTATTTGTGGCTAAGGAAAATGCATTGACTATTAACCTTGTTTGGTGTCAGCCATGGTTTTGATGAGCTTAATAGAACACCTACAAGGTTGTTCCAAATAAGAATTGTCCAGATTATTCGTACAAATGATATGAAATACAAATTAATCAACGAAACACGCATAGCGCAATCAATTTTATCTTAAATCGAAATCCTTATCAAAGGTTAAAGAGAATTCAAAATAAGAATTATATTATCAAAATTGAGAAAAAGATAACCAAAGAGAGAACATTTTTTATACCTTATTGGAGATGAATGCTTAAGAGGGGAAAGGGTGAAAGATGGTAATGAAGAGGATCATCTGAAACCAAAGACATGTAGAACAGTACTTGATTTTCAATCTAACAAGCCATTGATAAGGTCCAAAGGTTTTTATTTTCTACCATTTGCTTCTTTTTTTTTCTTTTCTTAATATTTGGAGATGAATATGTGTATGATATAATATTCAAATTTATGAGCAACCATATACAATAAATTCTTTATTTAATAGAGAAGAGAACGACGCCATTTTGGACTTAGTGCAGGTGGTGACTTTCAGATTTAATTATTTTACATCAACCACAGTATATCCAGAATTCCAGATCAAAAGAAAAAGCATATCATCAAGTTAATCTCAACTTGGTTTTACTTCTTCTAGTGTCAAGCCTCTCGGTTTAGGAAACCTGGCAGGTACTCTCATATTGCTACTACAAAAATTGGTCTTTTCTGTAACAACACACCCATAATTTTTTTTTAGCTATTTGCATGTATATTACATATTTTTCTTAGTAACAAAGTAGTACATTTACTTTTTACAAATTGTTTCAAAATGATGTCGTGTAAAAGTTTGATATGATTATACTGTCACTAATTAGGAACCATTTCGCTACAATTTAAAGTCAAGGCTAAATTGTAACTAATCAGCTACATATCCAAAACTACAATTTCTGTAATTATTTTATTTATAACTAATTTGTATCATTTTGTTGCCAAAATTTTTCTACAACGTACAAGTATTTAACTATTCGATATCAAGCTTGATTAAAGCAAATATCTGATTTTGCGAGCGAGTACATAATAAGTAACATGTATGGCCCATGTATGGGATGGGTACCAATTAATTTTGCCTAGACTTAAAATTCTTTAGTTGCTCTTCTCCAAGACAAATATTGAAGTTTCTTGATAGAAAAGTTTGTAATTTAAATAAGGGTAATGTAAATGTTCCAACTATGACTCAAGATCATACAGTTATTAAAGAGTTAAGCGGAGAGAGATTAAGCATACCTATAATTAAAAACATATGAGAAGATGAAAGAAAAGTTTCAAAAACATGAAACTAGAATAAGAGGATTAGCCAATGTTTTCACCACGGCTCTTGGCCGCATCTACCTCGTCTTTCGAATGATGTCCATTATATCTCTTGCAACTTTGGAGTAGGTTTGACAGTCCGTCCTCGCATGGTTCTAATGATAAATGCGTTCGCTAGGTCCTCATCCTATAGAACCTCCATTAGATTCAATTTTGTTCCTTGAAAGTTACAATCGTTTTTCCTAAGCATTGCTTCATTTTCCAATGTCCTACACACACTTATACGAAGCATAATGAAGTTGCAAACAAATTCACTGGCCTAGAGTAGTTTACGAATGTTATTATTCTTGTTTTGTGTTTGTATCTACCCACATTGGCTACTTTCAGCCATTCATTGTGTCGACCAAATATTCTCTAGATGAATAAATAACTAGACCAATGAGCCCATTTGACAAATAAATAAAAAAAAATTGCTTTAAAAAAGACCAAATATGTAATATGATATTGGAGAGACACGTCTACTACTGTTAATTGCGTTTACGAATCGGCGTT